TAAATATACTACATTTTATTGTTTCACACTGCAGCTGATAAGGAACATTATCTTTTAGTTGAATTAGAAAGTAAGACCAACAGCAGATTTTTGATAGAAGAAATTGCTTAAATCACATAAGTTAGGAGTAAGGCACACAAAAACATGCACTCCAGGTAAATGTTGGGCTAGATAATAAGATATAAAATTATGACATAGCATTAAACTTTACATATTATAAATATATGTATAAATAAAATAGATCTCATGTGATGGTTACAAGTCCAAGGGAAGGTACAGCATTGTTACTCCTGGATGGAAAGCAGGGTACAGGACCCGCTTAGGAAACTCTGGTTGTCCTGTCCTGTGCTCCAGCCAGCCACCGTATAAGCCTAATGGAGTCTGTCTACTGGATAAGCCCATGGGCAACAGGGAAAGGCAATTAGGGACACTCCTAGTGGTAACTAATGTGGAGCATTAAAGACCAGGAACATAAAGGAAGCTGTTGATATTCTTTGAATGAATAAAATGACTTCTATTATTTCTCTATTTAATTTATTCTGGCTTAATTGGTTTTGTATTCCATTCTTCATATCGCTGACAACTTTGTATTAAGCTACCATAACCTATGAGAAAATGAATGCATTTTTTGTTTCAATTCTTTAATTTATTCTTTGGCCATAATACACTAGTTAAAGCTGTTTATAAAGTAGTTTTTGAGGCTGTATTTAATACAATTAAAATACCTGGTAAGTACATAATATCTCATTTTTGAGGATACTTATGCAAAAATGATATTGAAGTTTGTTGTTGTGTTTGTGAAAACATTTAACAGGGAGAGAGGGAGCCAGAACAAGAGCCAGAGAGAAAGAAAAATGTAATATTTTAATTGACAGAAAAAGTTTGGGTTACTAAATTAAGATGAATGCTAAATAAGTTGCCATAACAATATAGTTGAATTATGAAAATGAATTTTGGCTTGCTAGGAAAGTTATCTTTCTTAATTTTGCAATATTGCAAAAAGCATGTAATTGTTTTTTGTAGACTCTAAATTCTTAGTTCATTAATATCCTCTAATATATTGCTAATTTAAATGGGAACAGTGGACCATGAGCATCAGCGTCACACAGAAGCTTGATAGAAATGCAGTCTTGGGTCCCAGCCCAGATCAACTGAATAAGAATGCTTTTAAAAAAGGTCATCAGGTGGCTAGTGCATGCATTCAAGTCTGAGAACAGTATTTTAACAAATCAATATAAATGTAGACAAATGTGTAATTTGTGACTATCTATATATCTACCTACCTACCTACCTATCATCATATTCATTTATATTAGCTCCCTCTTCAAAATTTAATGTAATACTTTACTAACCTTAGTAAAGACAGATGAGTAAAGAAATAGAAAAATATCACTTAAGGAAGAAGTAAAAAATAGAGCATCACAAATATACCACTTGCATTTTAATTGTGACAACAAAAAGTTGATCTACTTTCTCAAAACTTGATTGGTTCAGCAAGTAGTATTTACTTATTGTGACTCTTTTAAAGACAAATATACAACCTGGAAGACACAAAGGAGTTTAAATGTGAATGATTTACCCTTATCTAACCCAAAGTAGGCAAGAACTGCAAAGAATAGCAACTAAATATCATTTATCTCTTTCTAAAACAGAACAGATGAAGAAATATAGTTCTGATAACATAAGGAAAGCTTAAAATGAAAAGTCTTTCTACATTATACTATGAAAGTAATCGTTTTTCTGTGGGAGGGATATTTTTCTTCTTAATTCATTACATTTTAACAAACATATATTTTTAATTTATTAAGACCCATGTTTGACACTCAAAGTAATCATACATAATGAACATACTATTAGAGTCTTAATACAATTTTTACATTTGGAATTAAAGATTACTAAACTGTAATGCTAAAGCTCATTTGTAAAGTGGAAAACATATTAAAATTTTAATTTTTAAAAAGTAAATAAATTGAAGTCAAAGGAGGTTAACGCAGTTTTCCAAAGCAACACTGATAGGGAGCAGCATTACCAAGAGAGGGTAGGATTTGTTTTGATATTATTTATTTGTTTGAGCAATCTCAAAATTTCAAGCATAAATTAAATTGTGTTTACTCAGAAATCTGAAAATGACATGTAAAGCCTACCTTTAGTGATTATAATTCACCTTATTTTAGTCAAATCATTTTTAAACATTTTCCTGGTAATGGATTTAAAAAAATTCTTTTAGATGTCAGAAAGTGAGTGTTCTGTAAGTTATGTTTTCTTTTTCTTGTGTTTGACTTAAATGGTGTATGTTGAATTATAAACCCATGTTTAGTGCGCAAAATATATGATCATTATCCCTAAGGAAACATTATCCCAGAAACTTTTGTTTTCAAGTTTCCCTTTATCTTAACAGAAGCTTTGCTGCAGACTGGAAAGACTGTGGGCTTCAGAACCAGATAAACCTGTGCTGTCCTGACTTTCTTGCTTCCAAATTTTATGACATTTAGGAAGTCATTTAATTTCTCTTAGCCTCGATTTTCTCATCTTTAAAATGGGAATGATAGTGCTTTTCTTCTACGAGAATGAATGGTGCTACATATAAAAATTCTAGCCCATAAGAAGCTTTTAACAGTGAAGTAGATTCTGTTCTTGTTTTTATTGCTATTATTACTAATATTATCATCTCTGTGGCCACTTCCTTAAGCTTCCCTACAGTTTTCCTAAAGCATAGTTATCTTTTTGGGTATTACATTTTTTAAATTCATATTTATTTGAACACCTTCTGATATTTATAATCTCTTCATCTGACTTCTTGATACCACCCTCTTTCATTTCCTCATGGAATTGGATTCAACACCGCTCTGTTCTGTGCCTTCAACCTTTCTTTCTCTATTGGCTTTTCCCCTTCAACTTATGAATATTATCAGATATCTCTTATCCATAGCCTATAGAAATAAACTAAAAATCAGGATAACTTATATGTTAGAAAGACGAGTAATGGATATTCTGTTTATTAAAATAAATTATATTAGTACACATAGGCCGTGTTCTCAAATAGTAAGCATATCCCTAATACATACATATCCTTCAATTTCTGTTAGGGAATATATGACTATAATTAATATACACTAATACTTGTCCATTTTCCTATTTTAATAAAACCCAGATAAATGAATTTTAATAGAAATAGATGATTATGAAAACATTTTAGAAATCTACTATGTTTATATTAGCAAGAAAAAAAGAGTAGAATGATATATACAACATTCCCAGCTGTCAACAATTGAGCTGTCTAACTATGGATGACTCATTCTTTCAAAACAGTAATTAAGTTGCCCAGCTGGTGTGGCTCAGTGGCTGAGCATTGACCCACGCACCAAGAGGTCACTGGTTTGATTCCCGGTCAGGGCACATGCCCAGGTTGTGGGCCAAATCCCTAGTGGGGGTCATGCAGGAGATAGCCAGTTGATGTTTCTTGTTCTCTCTCCCTCTCCTTCCTCTCTCTAAAATTCAATAAAGAAAAAATGATTAAAAAAAGGAGAACAAAACAGTAATTAAGTCAAGGTCTATTGCAAATTATATTCCTCATTTTTCTTTTCCTAATTTCTATTCTTCATTATATTTGCTTTTGGGATAATGCTTCTCATTGATAATGTTAAACAAATATATTTGACAATTTTTCTTGTTCTTTGCATCAAATGTTTGACATAGCCAAAGTCCAGAGGTGCATCTGGAGACTTGCACATTCAGAAGGTGAATTTTAATGAGCATTCAGTATAAGATTGCATTACTAAAATGCTTCTTCTTGCTCAGTGAGTATGTTGTCAAACAATATGTTGGTGGAAGGCGCAGCCTAGACATTGAGTGTTGTCAATCTTTAGATACTCGTAGAAACACAAAGGGAAAATGTAAATGGCAAGAATTCACCTTATTAAACATTTTATTCTTTATTTATTTAGTGTTTAGAATAACTATGCAACACCAGCAGAGAAATATTTACTCTCGTACAGTTATATTATATCTTCAAAGTTGGTCTTCAAAGAATTTAATGACAATATTATTGTGGTAAATAAGAGAAGGTGAGTTTTCTATTAAATGAGTATTTGCATTTTACAAACATGACAACAGGCATTTTCTCCTTATTTTAAAAGCTTCCTGAATAAAGAAGTAAAGAAGGTATTCTAAAAATACTCTTTTTTGGAAATGTTATTAAAAATATATTTACCTAGGTTTTATTAAAATAGGAAAGTTGACAATATTAGTATAGATTAATTATAATCATTTATTCCCTAATGGACATTGAAGGATATGTATATATGAGGGATATGCTTATTATTTGGTATAACATCATATGTGTATTGATATAATAGATTTTAATAAGCAGAATGTTTATTATTATTCTTCCTAATATCTAAATCATTTAGATTTTTCTAATTAAATTTATTGTGGTGACACTAGTTAACAAAATTATGCAAGTTGCAGGTGCACAATTTTAGAACACATCATCTGTACACTGTGCTGTGTGTGCACCACCCAAATCAAGTCTTAATATATTCATACTCAAACCCTATGTGATTTTAAAAAATCAATATTTAATCCACATACGAACATTATTTGAAATTCTAAAATTACTTATTACAAAAGAATTTATTTTAAAAATTGTGGTAAGTACTAATAAGCTCTATTAAAGATAAAGTTACTTGATATCAAAACTGAAGGTCCCCTGTCCTGGGAACACCTTGAGTCCTGGGAAAACTGAGATAGTTGGTCACCCTGGTCATAGGTCAATTAAATACATCTTGCCATAAACATACAAATGACCAAACAGAACCAAGAATAAGAATGTCAAGATGACTTAAAAAATTTTAAATTCACCTTGAAGAGGGCAAAATTGATTTAATTATTTTGATTAGGGGAGTATAGTGCTTGTAAAAGTCTTATTAATGGGGAAAAAAGTAAGTGCTGCTTAATATAGGTTATAAAATGATTAAAATGTACCTTAATAAGATACTTACTTCTGTAAAAATTCTTCAGAGCCACATACACTTAGAAGACAATCTTTGTAGAATAACTGGTCATTTGCACAAAAATGTAGAATTTCTGCAATTAGGTCTTTGACAAGATAATTAGCTGAAAAACAAAGGTTAATAAAAATGTTAAAAGAGCTTATCCTATATTGGCTAAGAAAAAGTTTTGAGCACAAAAAAAATGATATACACATTATGATATATACATTATGATGGAACTATTTAATTCCATCAAGAAGAATTAAAATAAGATGCATCTCATTTATTAGTTTAGATTTGGAAATATTTTTGAAAAATATCGCTTGTGTGTTGTTTGATTAGTCTGTCTTCATATTATGCAATAGATCTAGATATTGTATTCTTGATGTTAAAATATTTGGTACATTGTAGCTATGCATAAAAAATATTCTACTGTGGCTACCATTAGGTACTTGGGAGATATAAAAAGATCACAAAGTGAATGATAAGTGGCAAGCCAGGAGTCCAAACTAAATCTGGCAGTTTTCAAGGCTGTGCCCTTAAGGATTGTAACTCTCCAAAGCTGATTGATGTTCTTTTCCCAAGTAGGAATCACAAAAGATTCTGCCGTGCACAACATTATAATAACCGTATGGACATGTGCTTTCTTTCTTCACCTTCTCTGGGACTCAAAGTGTAAGCATACTATAATATAAAGGCTTTTGTCTTCTCATATTTACATTCCATAATCTTCCCCCAAAGCGTTTACCTGCAAATGCCATTTAATAGTGGCCACACCATACTGACTTACAATACGTGTCTGTGAAATATTTTTCTAATTCTAAATGATAAGTAGTATGGGGTTTATATCTTATAAATGATATTTGAAAATTATATCTGTTTCTATCTCTATCTCTATCTAATCAATATTTATCTACATCATGTTCATGCTTTGAATGTGACCTTACGGTCTCAATCAATGTAAGCAAGTGCAACAACCTCTACTGATAACCCTTAGCCAATGACATTTTGAACAGCATATTGCAAACAGTTACATCCCTCTAATAGTATTGTATTTGCAGTTATGTGTTTACTTTCTGTGGCTTCTTTTACTGTCCCAACTTTTAGTTTGTAAGGAAAGATTTTTGATATAAACTGGCTACTGTGCAAATGATACTGCTGAACATGCCCCAACGAAAATAAACGAAAGGCATAATGATTGATTTTAAAATGCAGGTTTTATGGTAGATCAAGACATTATCAAAGAAATGGTTGATAAACAAATGGTAAAGATCACCAGGGAATTATGGATTGTGGAAATGCTTTTACATGGGAGAGAATATCTAAAATATACTGCAATTTGGGAATATTGACTGAAATGGTGTGAATGAAAGCTAGAAAAAATATGGCCACAGGCAAAATCATGACTCTAAGAACTTTGACAAGTAGGAGAGAGTATTGCCAGTCTGTGACACAGGAATGCATCTTCAAAGACACCATTTCACTTTAATTAACTTGACTCTCCCATTTCTAGGACTGCATTCCCCTGTCCTCTAGGGCATGCAAGAATTCATCACTTCACTACAATCCTCTTTTCCCTGACATCAAAGACTTCATAATCCAATTTCCAGCTATTATTTCTCTCCTGTTCTTTGTTTTGGTATCTCTTATTACCTGATTCATGTTTCTCTTTGGATGTTTTATTATTATTTTAAGTTTAACATGTCTAATCTGAATTACCACTTTTCTCCTTGAAGTTAGCCATTAAGTATGTGAATTAAACTCATCCATATTGTAAGCAACAAGTACTATGGCTTTTTAAAAGCAGATATTATAGGTATAATATACCTTAATTCTTGGCAGCTAAAATAACCCTTTTCCAAATTTCTTGTATTCTTCTGCTCCATGCAATTCTTGTCAAACTGCTCACCATATTGCCTACCGTACTAAAAAGACTAAGGCCCACATGAGAGTCTTGATAGCACCCTTCACCTTAAATCTGATTTTTATGTGCCCTCCTCTATTACTTATACATCTTTTGAGATGCATCACTGCTTTTTAGTAAATCTTACTTCTTCAATGTTATCTTTCCTACAATGGGCTCCAGTCCATCAATTAAAGCCCCCTCTCTTTTATATATTCAATATCCCCCCTGTAAAAGTGGACATAAGTGAAGCCATTTCAAAATAGAGTCTGAAATGCCACTCCAGGAGAAATGCCTTGCAGCATTTCTTGCTTCTTGAAACTTGGAACTGTTTGGACTGGGCCAGGCCTTTGAACTGAGCTAACATCAAGATTGTTTTACAAGCAATTTTTGGTAAAGCCATCAGAACAGCAGACATTCTGATTACAAGGGTTGATGCTTATGGACTCTCTATCTGAAGAAAGTCTCAGTAGCCAATGGTGTATAGCTCAAGAGTAACTCAGCTTCACAGCACCCATCGACGTTCTTTCTTCTTTTTCATGCAGTTATTCCTTTCCTCATAAAACCCCTATTCCATCACCCTGTAATTAGGACACTATTTTGGCTTCTGTCTGAATCCATGCTTCCAAAATTGTATTTCTCTGATTCCAAATACAGGGTGAGGCAAAATTCGGTTTACAGGTGTTTATATGGAAAATAATACAATAATTAATAAATAATAAATAAAGAATAAACTGTTTCACGTACTCACAACTGTAAGCCTACTTTTGCCGCACCCTGTAAACACTATTGTCTCTCCTTTTGGCTTTCTCATTTTAAGTTAACCCACTCTAAATTGCTTTTGTCTTTTCTAAAAATGTTCAGTTTCTACTTAATAAAACCTTCCCTCATCTATTCCATTGCTTAAAATAATGTCCTATTTTTATTTATTTTTTTTTTACCATCCCATTACTGCCAGTCTTCTTTAAAGAATAGATAACTTCTGCAAACAGTTCTCAATTACTCTAATCTTTGCAAACTGACTTCTACTTCCAGCACCTTGGAGAGTACATGACCTCTTAATACAGTTCTAACCACACAGCATCTAAACCTAGGAAGTAGTTGGAAGTAAAGACACGGGCTGTGCAATGACTTTGGAGTTGGAAATGAGGACATGGGCATCAACTTCATTGAAGTTATAGTTGAAGATGATGATAGCAGAGAGTTCCTTGTTCAAAATGTGTGGTCCTCTAGAAGGATTCAATTTCCTCAATGTTGGGAAAACAGAGTTCTTGGATGAAAACCCCTTACTCATGTTCTCCTCTTTAGTTATTTAGACTTTATTATTCCTTAAGTTTCTAGCAAAAGCTTCTATCATTTGTCAAAGTCACTCTTGATTCTGTGGACAGAAAAGGGGCCACATACTAAACCTGTTGAGTTCAGGGGAGGCCAGCATAGTGAGCCCTACAAACTCAGAGACCAAAAGTAACCACATAGGATGGTCTGAACATACAAATTCCTAACCAAAAGTAGGTTAAGGTGGGTAGTCATATTCTAGGCCTGTAGCTTCCTTAACAAAGATCAATCTTTACCTCATCTATTGTCTTTTTGCATCTACAATAACATCCCTTTGAAATGTCCGTATAGTCGCCTTTTCCAGACCCCTCAAGGCACTGAGCACAAGACCACAGAACCCCTCATTGTTATCTTGTTCCTTGAATACCATATCTATGTGCTGTAACTGTTAATATTAACTGCCCTCTACCCACTAATGTAAAAGAAGTGTGTGTCTTTCTGTTTCACTATTCATCCAATCCCTGAGGTATTTCCACTTGCTTCCTCCCACCCCCTGAATCTACTATCAGTGGATTTCATATAATCCTTCTTATGTCTCCATCTTTGATTCTAATGTAAAAAATAAGCTGCAAGACTGTCATTCTCAGGAGCATTTTCTGAATCCATTGAGATTTCTGCTTCCCTACAATGGTCATCAGTTTGGCTCAAATAAACTCATAAAAATTCTCTACAGGTTTGTATGTTTCTTACATTAACCATACACTATTCAGACTTTTGTTCTTTACAGAACATCTGTATTACTAGTAAAATACTAACATAAAGTTGTGAAGGGACTACAGATGAAGGTTCAGAACACCTCCCCCCCCCCCCTGCAAGATGTGCTACTTTAGCATGTGAATTATTTTGAGCTGAAGGTAATCGAGACCCTGTGTGACAGTTATAATAACCTGGTTATTATTTAACAGGAAAGAAACATAAAGGGAGACTAGATTATATAGGTATACCATTTATACAGCTTTGCCAGGAAGCTGCAGTTAACACTCTCCAGGTCTATTCCTCACAGATTGATGAGGAAGGAACTGGATAATAGATGCATGCCCAGTAAGGTGTGGGTGCTGTAGGGAAGGTCACTCACATGTGGGAATAGGTCATTGGCGAGTAGGTGGGGCCACTTCAAGTGTGGGAATATTTGAGCTTTATAAACTCCTAAATAAAGAAAGTTCTCTCTCTTGGTGCCCGTGGCTCTCTTGCACACTGAGCTCCTGGCTCACCTGTTTCAGGGGGAGCATTTGCCTATATTTATCCCTGTGGCCCACGGCCATGTGGACTCCACACAGCACACTGATAGGCTGAATCTAGCATGATGCCTAAAGCTATGCCAAATTCAGCTCCATCATGGAACAAAACTCTGGACACTGGCTTTGCTTCTATCTCTACTAAAGCCCACACTGCACCTTTTCCAGGACTGGCTTAAGGAAAATGAGACTTTGGAACCCGAGAAATATAAATCCATGAAAATAAAGACTTCTACATCTCATCCTCTGATGGGAGCCTCCAGAAATGCTTATTCCAGTAGCACCTCAAGAACCTCACTTTCACTGGAGACAGAGGAATTCAATTTTCTGGCAACACCTGTGGGCTCACGAGAAACTGTTACCTCTTCTTAAAGAATTTAAATCTGGGCCTTTTCCATAATGAGAGTTAAATTTGGAGCAGGTATATCTTCTTATGACCTGTGTATAGGACAGGGCAAACATATTAATTACTGATCGTCTGCTTGTTTTATCGTCTGGTGAATCACCTTTCTCTCCTCTCAATCTCCAACCTGCCTCACCTAATCCTTAGCTCAGAATACCTAGATACCTCATTTTAACTTTTTGTCTCTAAATTTCATGTGTGTGGGGTCTCTCTCTGACTCTCTCATGTATTTGGGGGTCCCATATGTACATATGTCATTAAATTTGGTTGCTTTCTTTTATCTTTTTCACATTGATTTGATTATTAGACTAGCCAAAAGAATGTACAACGGCATAAGTTTCTTCCTTTCTCACACAGTTTTAGCATCAAGAATATCTTAAAGTGAAAACATTTAAAATACCATTTGACCTTTTGTTATCTGACTAAAACCGGGAAAAACAGAGACTTCCTATATACAGCTACCATTCTTCATTCTGAGCTAGTTTCCTGCAAATTCCAGGAAGCAGGAAGGGAGACAGACAGTCTATCCATTAGCATAAAAACAAATCAAAACAAAACAAAATAATAGAACTCTCCATACTTTTCCATTAAAGCTCCCCTCTCCCCACCCACACACATTTATGTTGAATTGGTATTAAAACATTTACCTCTGGGAATTCAGCAGGTGATTTTTTTTTTATCCTCACCGAAGGACATTTTTCCATTTTTTGTTCAGACAGAGTGGGAGGGAGAGAGAGAGGAAGAGAAAGAGAAACATCGACGTGAAAGGGACACATCGAGTGGCTGCCACCTGCACCACCCAACCAGGATCGGGGACAACTGCAACCGAGGTACGTGCCCTTAGCAGGAACTGAACCCGGGTCTCTCTGGACTGCAGGCCAATGCTCTAACTGCTGAGCCAAACCGTCCAGGGCTCAGCAGGTAATTTATTACTCAGTAACTCCTATGAATGTGCAAACAAGCCTTGTCTTTTCTTTCTGATTTGTCTATTGTCAGCAAAGTCACAGCACCTGCCCTCCTTCAAAAATAAATAGAAAGACAAAAGTTTTCCTTTCAACAGTGGCATACGTTTCAATGAATATGTCCTTTCTCCTCCTCTAATTCTTCCTCCTTCCTCTCTACTTCACCTCCTCCTTGTTTTTCTTGCAAATAATTCTAATATCCTTCAAGACATAGACATCCTCCTTACCACTATACATCTCTAAAACTAAACACAATGACCTAATAACTTTACTGAAACTTCTCATAAAACTAAAGAATGGCCCTGGCTGGTGTGCCTCAGTTGGTTGGAGTGTTGTTCTGTATACCAAAAAGGTTGTGGCTTCAATTCCTGGTCAGGGCACATACCCAGGTTGTGGGTTTGATCCCCAGTTGGGACACTTATGGGAGACAACCCAATGATGTTTCTCTCTCACATCAATGTTTCTCTCTGTCTCTCTCCCTGTCCTGTCCTCTCTCTCTCTCAAATCAATAAGTAACATATTTTTTAAAAGTTTAAAAATAAAAAAAAGTAAAAAATGGACTTTGGCTTGCTCAACAAAAGGATATCTGCAGGGTGGGGGAGAGACGTTGGAAATTAAATATTGTAAATTGGAAGAACAGAAATGGTCTCCCTAGTTCACTATTATTCCCTTTTGCAGCAATTGAAGCCAATATGACCCAAGCCATTCTCATTGGATCAAGCAGCAGGACCACTGATCTTGGTTGTACAATCATAATCCTGCGTTTAGAAATTTGGAATTGGATCCAATAGAGAGATTGAAATATCTTTAGGGAGCTGGCCAAATAGCATTTAAGCTTGAGAGCTTGGCTTTTCATACATTCTGAAAAAGTAAGGAAAATGAGTCCACAGACAGCAAGAGAAACATGAGAAGCAATTATACAGACAGGAAATGAGGTGAGAGGCATACAGAAATTTTGGACTGCTTCTTTATCTGTATATTTCCAAATTTTGCTGAATTCCTACTCTTAAATTCTGTAATAAATCCTTCTACTCTTTAAAAATGTTTGTTTGTTTTTTTCTGCTTAAGCCAGCAGGAATTGGTTTCTGTTAGGTTCAAACCAGATGGCCGTATTAATATTCCAACATGCTGTTATATAGGTAGTCACCTGTACTCAAAGTAAAAGGCAAAATAATAATAATAATAAAATAATCAATGAAAAGACACTTCTTGGGTCATTATTGGTCAAGAAACAATAGTTGATATGTAGAAAATAGTAGCACCTAAATTTTGTTCAAAAATTAATGTTGTCTTGCAAAATAGTTGATTATAATAGTGAAATAAAATATTAAGCAACTTTAAAGACATTCTAAAACTTTAGAGAAATAAGAATTATCTGATGAGTTATAATGAAATACAGATCCCTGGGATTCATTCCCAGAGACTTTGAGTCAATTTGATTCAGTGATTATGCTGGCTGTACAGGGCTAACACAGTTCTATGCATCAGTGTCTATTCTACCTCACTATTTATATTTCAATGAAACAGGTGTTTCATTTATCTAGAATCTCTTTGAAATTTGTTTTTAATATGCTAAAAACTTGTTATATTTGCATTATTTTATAACAGGAAAATAAGGTTTCCTAGGCTGAACTATCCAAAGAAAGTTCTCCAAAACAATAGCTAAGCAAATGTTAACAAAACTTTTCTAGTTGTTTTCCTCCTACTTCACTTCAGGGCAAAATACTAGCTAATAATAATGCTTCCTGATTTTCATCAGTGGACTCAAGGCTAGGAAGCCTGTACCAGCTTTATGCAGATCTTTACGTTTATCTGCAAGGCTGCTTACCGTGTGGCATAAAATGAAGTAGCTGTGTTGAGTTATCAATACAAATATTTATATTAAACTTGGTCTCAGAAAAGAGTTGGTATGGAAATGCTGTCGTAGTGCTCCAGATCTTCCCCGAATTGGAATGCATGTCAGCTGCATGATAGGTTTCTCTGATTCTGAAAAATATGCATAAAAAGATTATTTAGGACGAGATGATAAGACACTTCATGCAAGGTTTTCTATAGAAAATTGAAAATACAAAACAATCAGCAGCTGATTTGTGGCACAGTGTTGTGAGCTAGGCCAGACTGGTCGAGATTACAACTATACCAAAAACACCGTAGAGGACTGTTCTTTAAACTTTTCCAAGAGCACCCATGTAAAGCAATTAAGAATACATTGTCGTTCATATGACATAAAATTTCACTCTGCACAATGAGTACTTGCTTTAGAAACCTGAACTCTTCCCACTGGTTTTTGTTCCTGTCAAACTTTTTGAAGCTGGAAGTTGCTTATCTTAATATAACAATTTGGGTAAACAAATTCTCTTGTTGGTCAAGGTGGTAAATAATATTTTTGGCTGTCCATTTACCTTACACTTTTGGATTTTACACATCTCTGAGTTTTACTTTAATAATTGAGCTCAAAAGTCACTTGTACATTCTGAACAATACCTTTTTGCTCAAATGAACCAGAGAATTGCAAAATAGTTTCTCCTTGGAGCCCAAAGCCTTGAGTTTGATCCTGGTTCTTCCATTTAGTAGTTTTATACTCAGAGGCAAGTTATTTGACCAGTTTCTTTGCACAGCTGAGAATATTTATATCTATAATAGTCCACACTTTCCCATGGTTTTGCTTTCTGTGGTTTTATTATCATTGTAATTAGCTAGTTAATATTAATAAAAGGAAGAAAGCAAAGGGAGCCCAGACATTATAAGCATGGTCACCTGGGTCGCTTCACCAGGAAGCTACAGCTTCATGCTCCCCAGGGAACCACCAGTCCATCCCTGCAGATGTGTGGGGGAAGGGATTGAACAAAGGGGAAGATGGGCACATGCACAGTGAAGTCAGGTGAGGAAGGGAAGGTGCTTCCCTGTCAGTCTAGCCTGGGGAACAATGGATTAGTGAAGAGGTGGACCCCACCAGAAGTGTGCACAGTCCTGGAAAGTTAAAATCCCCAAAGGAGCTTTCTCCCTTATGCTCCTCTGGCTCTTTTGCTCTGTCACCCGCCCTCACCCATGTGTTCTCCTGTTCGCTCTGCTTCGCCATCTGGCCTTAAGCAGCTGCATGGCTCTGTGAACCTCACACTCAATGGTCGGCAGATGGGAACACAAGCTAAGCTAACCAAATGCTGCACTGGACTGTGCTTTAATATGGAACAGAAACTCTGGGCACTAGCCCTAACTCGGGCCCTGCTGAAGACAAGACTGCACTTCTGCCATAGTGAAATGGACATATGTGGGAACTTAGAGGGGAATTCCCTTAATTTTACATCATCAATAAAGCTTTACATGAAACCTCATCCTCCTGTGAGGGGGTGCCCCAGGAAATTCTTTTCCTCCTGGAATCGCAAGAACTCCACTTCCACCAATAACAATTTCACTTACCTCAGTCAGACAGTCTGAGAATATTGAATTAAAAATTCCAGAAATAAACAACTTATACGTTTTAAATTGTGCATCCTCTGAGTAGGGTAATAAAATTCTACACTGCCTTGCTCCATCCCACCTGGGAAATGAGTCTCCCTTTGTCCAGGGATCCTCCGATAGTAACCTTCTCGGTTATCAGACCAACCCTTGGGTATTGCAGTACTTGTGTTCAAATAATTCTTATTTTACTTAATAATGTTCCCACAGTGGAAGAATGATGATGTTGGCAATTTGGGTATGACAAAAAGAAGCCATGAAGTGCTTCCTTTAAGTAAAAAGAGATATATGTATAGGAAAAAAACATAGTACATATAGAGTTCAGTACTGTCTGTGGTTTCAGGCATCCACTGGGGATCCTAGAACATATATCTATCGCTAAGGGGGGACTACTCTGCCACATTTTAGATTTAAGGTGTCAAGTTCCTAGTAAGTTGTCAGTTTGTTACTGTGAGTAGCTTATTCTTGAAGAATCAGTACTGATGTCTTTAAATATTTTTTATTGATTTTTTTTTTTTTTTAAAGAGAGAAGAAGGGAAAGATAGAAACTTCCATGTGAGAGAGAAACATCAATCTGCTGCCTCGTGCACACTTCCTACTGGGAACGAATCCTTAACCAGGGCTTGTGCCCTGACTGGGAATTGAACTGGGACCTCTCAGTCCATGGGGTGATGCCCAATCCACCGAGTCACACTGGTCAGGCATTGCTGATATCTTTAAAGACACTAATATAGGAATCTAAACTGTCATTTTAAATTTCTTCTGTGAACCAGAGCAAGACATTAAAGATTACATGTCTTTATGGAATTGACGTTTGCTTTGCACTTTTGTATGTATGCCTTTCAGCTCTTCCAATATGGTTATAAGTTTTTTAGGGCAGAGATCTTACTTTTTTGTTTGCTTGTTTGTACTACATTTGACTATTTCATGCATGGACTAGTTATTAGGCATTCTAATAGTCTTTAATTAGTAATTAAATAAATATTTCAAATATTTAATCCCAAATGATGATTTCGTAGGATGCTACTATAGCTAAAAAATACTCTAAATTTATTTATATGTGTATTTATTATATTTAAAACATTTATAAATTGATAAACTTCAAGAGAACTAAAATGCAAATGCATTAATTTTTCAAAACTTTTAGCTATAGAAGAGAGAAAGAATTATATAATTTTTAATTGCTAATGAGAATTTGGTCTTTAGAAAAGGCATCTCCCTTTATATTAGAAATTTATTTGTAGGTTAACAAAAAGGGGATCAGTGAAATGTTTTATACTATCCCTGGTGAAAAATTTGTTTTTCAATGAATAAACACTTCTGCATTTGTTCAAATTCTGGAATCGCATTCAAGGTAAGAATGAGTTATTAAGAGAAAGACACCTTCATCCTTCTAAATAGTAAATCCCTGGTGGAAAGGTTAAATCTATGCTACTATGGGACAGTCATAGGAGTTAGGCACTATGTCATTAAATGAAAAATTAATTCAGTGCAAATTAAACTACCAACAAATAGCTGGGGCAGGCCTGAAATGATAAAATATTCAACTTTAATCCTGTAAAAAAACCATAATTATTTGACTATAAACAACAAAAACAATACCAGAAGTTGATTAATGAACTAATTTGTCATAAATTTATACTTTTCATTGTGTTAAAGATTACAGAATATTTTATATGCTAAATTAATCAGTGTAGTGATGTTAAAATAGGCAAATTTATTTAGGTACAGAAATTTAAAAATTTAATGAAATAGTAACACTTACATTTTTACTTTGTCACAAAAGGAGGCCAGACTTGTATTACTGCCTTGAGGTACTTCAATTAGCTGAATGGAACAGCTTATCAGCTTAAAATAATAATTGTTAAATTAATATAGTTTGCTGTAGAGAAAAGATTAATTCAGTTGCACAATTTCTTGTTTTAAGAATTTATTTTTTTATTTTTATTTTTGAGATTTTAACTATTATTTTTTTTTTAATTTTTTTTAATTGATTTTAGAGAGAGAGGGAGCGAGAGGAAGAGAGAGATAGATACATTGATGAGAGAGAACATTGATTGGCTGCTCCCTAACAGGGATTGGGCCCACAATCTGGGCATGTGCCTTGACTGGGAATTGAACCAGCGACTGCCCGGTGCATGGGTTGACGCTCAACCAGAAAGCCACCCCGCTGGCCTATTTCTTAGATTTTTAATGAAGTTATACATATAGAAAATTGCACATATAATTAAATATATAATTTAAGTTTGAGGAATGTATACAGCCATTATATCAATATCCTAATCAAATATATAACATTTTAGTCACTTTAGCAAGTTCCTCCATATCTCCTTCTGTCAATCTGCACATCCATGTGGTAACTACAGTTAATTCAGATGCCTACCACCACGGATTGGGTGTATGTGCTCTTTTGTTTCTGACTCTTTTAAATTAAATGATATGTATTTTGTAATTTATCTGTGCTGTCACACATAAAAATAGTTTATTGTTGATTAGAAGTATACTAGTGCATGCACATGCCACAATTTGTTTATCTACCTTTCTCTTGATGAACATTTGGGTTAAGCTTTGAGGTATTGTAAAGAAATCTATTAACTGTCATGTGCAAATATTTATATGGCCATGCTTTATTTTTTGTGAATGAATTCATAAATGGCTCAGTAAGAGGGTGGGTATACGATTAACTTTAAATCATTTGCTTTATGTGTTTTGAATCTGTTATTAGATGCATCTACATTTAAATTTATTATGTTCTCCCAATTGACCCTTTTATCCTTATGAAATGACCCTTCTCTTTCTCTAATAAAACTCTTCACTGAACTGTACTTTTCCTGATATTAATAACCACACCAACTTTCTTTGGCTGATTGAGTGTTAAATCTTTTTATTTCTTTTACTTTCAACCTATCTGTGCTTTTGCTTCTGAAGTTTGTCTCTTGTAGATTGTAGTAAAGTATTTTTTATTTAGTTGGTCGATTTCTCCCTTTTATTTGGAATGCTTAGCCTATTCATATTTAGTGCATTTATGGATATTTTTGGATTTAAGACTGCCATGCTGATATTTGTTTCTTCTATTTTATTTTGTTCTTTCATTTCTTCTGTCTTTTTGATCATTCAACACTTTCCCTCTCTCAAGCATAGATGTCCTATAACTGTCTGTTGTCTTATGCCTAAAACCAGTGGCTCCATATGTTTTTTCTAACTTCATAGTTTCCAGTGGTAAGGAAAAGCTTAGTACTTGTTACATTGTCATGATCAACAGCAGATGTTCCTAAAATTCAATGACTTTCAATTCAGATTAGTTGAGTCGCTACCTCCTCTGCAGTGTCTCAGAAAAAATTAGTTGTTTCTTCTCCACTGAACTCATCCTGTTACTTTGCTCTGTTACCTTCTCTTGTTTGCAACTTACTTTGAGTAATATGGTATTCCTGAAATCAGGTATCCTGTAGCTTCTTTGGATTTGTTATGTCTAGTTTATCATGTATATTTTACGAATATGATAAATCGTTGTTGAGTAAGTGAAGAATCCTTTTGCCTTACCCTGTGTGTTATAGCTGCAATAGTGTTTCTTCTTTGTACTGTTTACTTCATTTCACTGTGTCCAGATTCAGCATAAGCAGAGAAATGTGCAAATACTGTACAAGAAACTCTATAGTTACTAAAATGATTGGAAAACTACTAATGAAACCATTAGGATGAATTGCACAATGATTACTTAATTTCCTATTCTTGGAATGATCCCAATAGAACTTGCCTGCCAAGCATATAATTTAGGAGCCTCTGAGTAAAGAGACATTACTTCTACTAATAGTAATCTAAAGTTTTAATTCATGATAGTGTGACTGAGAATATAAATGTAATGAAATTTATGTGTGTTTCTGTGTGTGCATAATAACACAATGAGACAGAAAATACGATCATTGAAACCTCCAACTCTGGTATTTTAATCTAATAAAATGTAAATACTATAACATTTTATTTATATTTGATGAAACTGGAACTTTAAAAATTATATTATAAAAATTTTATTGCTGTTTCCTCAGAAAATATCACTGATTCAGGAACATAGAATTAGCAAATACTAAATGATTTTTTCAAATGTAATATTAATACATTTCTCTATTTAGCATAGTTACCCTCATTACTAAGTTAATCCAGCATATTATTAAGTGATTTATATTTATATTTTTAGATCAACATATATGACACATACCTCTGTGCTCTTTGGCCATGAACTTTCCCCCATCCTGGGTAGGAAAGGTTCCACAGTACTTGTATTTCTATTTCTTTTATTCTCTTCTTTTGGCATAAAGTCAGTTGAGAAGGATGGATATATAGAGGAAATGTTACTTTGAAATCCTAAATGGTAGTTATTATTTTTATTTTCCAGTTCTTTTTGTGCATTAATTTGATCCGAACTAGTGGATGATGGAGCTAAAATATTGAATATGTAAACACCAGCATCATGGCATTTTCCTGTGGGGTTTCCCCAAGAGCTTTCTTTATTCATGATTTGAGGATTTGGTAGCGCAGATGGCCTAAAACCAATTACTGGTGTTTTCCTATCTTGGTGACAGGAGAGTTCTGAGCTTTTAGACGTAAATTCATTCAAGGATATTTGCTGCGTTTCCTCTAATGAATGCTTTGGTGTACTGGGCACAAAAATGGTGTTTTCTTCTATTTCACTCTGATAGAGTGGAATTTTATTATTGATTTCTTCTACTAGTTGATCAAAGCCCAGACTGACTTGGCTGGGAGAAAGCGACTGATTGGCAGAGTGCAATTCCTGGTGCTCCTGCAGCCCTTTGTGTGCTTCACTGGGATTTAGATCCACGTTCCAGCAATACGCCATCCTGTATTTTATGTAACTGAGAGGTTGACTCTGCTCCAAAGAGCTCCCTAACAGCATTAAAGAAGGCCGGAATTTTCCTAGGAAAAAAAAAGAAGCATAAAAGAAAACAAAAAGGTCTTTGATTAATTAATAATAAAAGCTTGCAAGAAAAAAGTATGATGAATAAATAAACACAATTGTTTTAAAGTTTCTTCTTAGCACAATTAACAGTTCCTTGAGTAATATGAAACTTCACCAAGGCTCACAACATTAACCTTCTGGGGGAATATTGATTTGTGAAACTCCTGTGACAGAAAAATGAGCTCAATTATGACAGGAGGTTCGTGAATCAATCCAAAGTCAATATTTCCCTTTGGATTCCTTTTGTTACTCAAGATCCACTTGCTATATCATCATTATTTTGCTATCTTCAGTCATCTAGCTAGCATGCTAGTCTCTTTCTTAGTAGATACACGTTTTCTTTATCAGTAGTTACTCAACACACAAACATGGTCTTAATTTTTCCTTCCCACCATAACCAATCATCTTGTCGATGGGTTAGACCCTTTCTTCTTCTCCCCAAAACTTTGTAAGAAGTTGCAAACTTCCTGCATCACTTCTCCAAAATGACTTCCATTAAGTTCACCAGTTAGCTACATGTCCATAAATTCAACTCACATCTCTTTATCTCTGCAACATTTGATTCCATTTGCCATACCTCTTATTTTAAAGTTTCTGTGTTCCTAGGATGGCTTTTCTGATTCTCTGTTCTCTAAGGACTCTTTTGATTGCTTTCTCTCAAAAACTCCTTTGCCTATTATTCATTTTCCGCATGGCTCTGACCAGAGCTTCTTTTCTTCTCAATTATTCTTTCCTTCTAAGTTATTGTATTCCTCCTGTGGTTTAAATTAACATTTGTATGTTGATGACTCCCACCTGGACCATTTTTAGTATTACCTACTCAATATCTCTTTTTAAATTTTCAAAATCTCCAACAGAAAGTCCAAAAATTAAATTATAATTCACACAAGAACCTGCTCCTATCCAGCGTACTTTGTGACAGAAAATGGCCTGCCCAGCCACTCAATTGGTTAGACCAGAAATCAGAGTTTCATCTTTGAATCTTTCCTCACCTTCATTCTTCTATATCCAATAAACCACTGGATCCTGTAGGACGACTTTCTTCCTCTCTCCATCAACCCCTGCCACAATGCTGGTCTAAAGACTTTATTTTCTCACCTGCAATGTTGTACTGTCTCTGAAACTGCTTCTATATTTTCTGCAACCTGTTCTTGTGCCCTATAAGCATTTTTAAATACTGTAAGGATATAGTTAAGAAACTAACCCAGTATCTTCCTAGGAAATATCTTTTCAGTGGTTTTTAACTGTCTTAAGATAACACCTATAACGTACGTATGTAAGACTTCTCTTTCCCATTAGATCATTAGATCACACTGTTCTTTCTCACTTATAACTCAGTACCTAGTACAGTGATACCTCGGTTCTCGAACATAATTCGTTCCAGGAGGACGGTCGAGAACCGAATTGTTCGAGAACCGAAGCAATGAAACCCAATAGGAAAGCGTGACTCTCTCCACAAAGCGTGACTCTCTCTCTGCACTCACACTGATGACGCGAGCAAGGCTCGCTGGGCCGAATGAACGCCATTCGGCTCAACTTGGCTCATCTCGGAAGTTCGAGTTCCAAATATTTGTTCGGATTCCGAGACAAAAGTTTCTCGAATCCTGATTTGGTCGAAAACCAAGGCGTTCGAGAACCGAGGTATCACTGTACTTTGCTTCATTCGGAGTTGTTACTCATTTGTACTTGTTGAACAGATGATCTAAGATAGGGAGGAAGGTGTCAATGGGGGAAAAAGGAGAAACATCTATAACAAAGGCAAATTAATAAAAATACTTATTAAAAAGAAAATTATAATTTAAAAATTTTATGCATTATAATTTATAAATTATAATTGAGTAAAAGAAATAAAATTGAAAAATATTTGTGTCACTTTTATATGGATTTATTAATTTAACAATTATATGGGTATGTGTTAAAGACAAAAAATGTTCAAAGGATAATTATAATAATATTTAACTATCAAATATTATTCTCTACCAATCTGTTTTGCAATGGCAATTGATTTTTATTATATTGGCACTAAAGGTTTACTTAGAATTTATAACCTTAAGCAATAAATAGATTTATTATACTCCACTCAAGAAATTGAACTGATAGATTTGTGAGAAATTTTTCAAGGGATGCAAATAAGTGTATAGAATAGAGTGTTTACCATAAAATTGATCTATAAAATATGATTTGAGCCTGGCTGGTGTAGCTCAGTGGTTGAGAAAACCCATACACCAGTATAATTCCTGGTCGGGACACATGGCCAGGTTGTGGGCCAAATCCCCAGTCGGAGGCGGCCAATCGATGTTCTCCCTCATTGATGTTTCTATCTCTTTCTCCCTCTCCCTTCCTCTCCCTCTAAAATCAATAAAGAAAAAAATGTTTAAAGATGATTCGAAACTATTGTAATTCATGGGTCACACAGATACATTATCTAGCCAGAATCCCTTTTTCAGGACTTGCTATTTTTTAATCTGCACGTTATTAGTGAAAGCTATGTTCCATTAAAGCAATTTATACTCCTTCATTTGTCTCTGCCATGGAACTCAGAATTTGTCAGCAGGTGTGACTTTGACAAGCAGAGTTAATATCCTGTTCCAGGCTTGCTTAGCCAAGTGTGCTCTGTCTTAAATACACTAAATGTGGCTGGCTATATAAAAGTGACTTTTACAGTTCTCAGCGTTTTCAAAATAACTGATTGAGTTTTTTAAATTATATTTTAATTTTGTAGAGCCATTACAGGAGGTCTTTAAAAAAGGTATCAGTCGTCTTGATGCCGAAGTTAATGATTCCTTTACATCATGCCACCTTGTTGCTGTTAATAATAATAGCTAACCTTTTTTGAGCACCTACTCTGTGCTACTGCTCGAAATACATGCACATACTTACATGTGTCAACAAATTCATTTCTCATTGCAACCGGTAGTAGTATTATTACCACTTTAACAAATGAAGAAACTGAAGCAAAGAAAGGTGACTCAACTTAGCCCAAGTCTCAGAATTTGTGTTTACCAATTTGTTTTAAACAGAAATTAAAAAGAGCCATATGGGTGATCATACCCTGTTCAAATGACATCTAGAGCATGCCTGGAGTTAAGCACTGACACACACGTTAACTCAGCTCAAACTATTGCTACCGAGAAGAGTTGAAAACTTCTCAGTTTTTATCAGTAACAATATTTTTTAAAGCATTTTGGCAGCACTAAAACTTGAAATGGGTTAAAATCCTGTCTAAAAAAATCTCATTATCATGAGATAAAGGAGAATGAAAAATACGTATTCATATTGAAAATGTAATAAAAACTAAACCTCTCCCAGATCCTTTTTTTTTTCAATATTAAATTTGTGATTTCAAGAAATTGTTCATCATTTTAAAGCTCATTACCATCACAATTAGAAACTGGGGTATTTCTTGGTTATAAATAAGCAGAAATGTTATTTACTGCCAGTTAGCAAATATCTACCCTCTGCATTATGAAATAGTGCATAAAATAATTAAAAGTCATATAACTTGACTGAGGCAGAACTGTACATACAGATTAGCAGCTATTAAGACATGATGGAGAGGTTATCAGTTCCTGATTTAAATAAGACTAAAACTATAGAAAATATGTGTGGTAAGAAGAGTAATGCCCCCACGCCCATATTCCCATGTCTTAATACCTGGACCCTGTGAACATATTCGGTTACACAGAAAAGAGGGATTAAGGATTGCAGATGGAATTGTTTCCTGCTCTGCTGATCTTAAAACAGGAAGTTTATCTGGGCGGGCTCAGTGTAATCACATGGATCTTTAAGAGTGGAAGAGGGAGCAGAAGAGAAGACTCGAGCAGTGTGATTTGAAAAGGACTCAACCCACTTTTGGTGACTTTCATGATGGAAAAAGGGGCCATGAGCCAAGGCACTCAGGCAGCCTTTAGAAGTTGGAAAAGGCAACAAAACAGATTTCCGCCAAGAAACCTCTAGACACAGCCCGGGATTCTAATCCAAGACCCCGTATTTCTGTCCTACAGAATTGTACAATAATAAATTTGCATTAAGTCACTAAATATGTGATAATTTCTCTGGACTGCAGGCCAATGCTCTAACCGCTGAGCCAAACTGGCCAGGGCTGTGATAATTTCTTACAGTATCAATATGAAATTAATACATAGGCAAACCGAAAGCTGCTTCCTAAAGTGGTTAGAAAATCAAGACCTAGAAGAAGTGTAGCAGACCATGTTTTTTGTTGGCAAGTTCATTTAAATATGAACAGGATATTTAAAAGAGGTTAATAATGGCAATTTAGTGTACTACAATTATGTATAACCTTCTATACAATTCAACTTTCACGAGATTAGTTTTTATTGAAGGTTGATTAGTCATCTGGACTCAAGGAAAAAGTAGAGAAAAGATTTAGGGACCTATCAGAGAAAGGGCAGCACCTGCCAGCAACTTCCACTTTCTAAATGTACAAAGGTACAAATATCGTCCAAATACCTTCAGCGTTCAGAATGGAAACACCCATATTTATTTTTAAAAAGAACAAAGAATAAAAAGAACCTTTATGAAAATGTCTATTCTCGGTACAGAAAGTCCTGGCTAGATTGCTAAGTCAGTATATCGACAGGAGAGAGACAAGAAGAGGGGGAAAGGAATAAATTATGAGGTTGAAGAAAAATGATCTTTATTTCAGATAAAAAATTACAGTTGGCATTTAAAACATACCAGTTTTTAAAATATATGTAAATGTCATAAAAGACAAAAATTGTGCCAAAGCAAGACATGTCAAAGTTTAATCAAGCTGCACCATCTGTATTCTCAGTACGATGGAAGGAAAATCCATATATCTATGGAAACAACCTGGTTCCTGAGAAAACTCTGAGCTGGAAGGATTATCTGAAATTCCC